GACCGAACAAGAGTTGATGTAATGGGCCTTCCTGCCTCAAGCACAGGCTGTCAGCTCCGCTTAACTGGCTCTTCTTTCTGCCCTGGGTTATAAGTGTTTGTATGTCTGGAGTTGTCAGCACCTGGCAGCCACAGGCCTCGTCTTGTCTGCTTTTTTTCCTTCCCAGCCCTCCCTGGCTCAAAACACAGATAGGTGCTCCATCAATGCCCCAAATAGGACGTTCTGGAGCACCTCAATTAGCTGGACACCTCATCGAACCGATGTTATAAATGGCTCTGCTAGAAGGAGGACGTGGTGAATGCGTGGGGGGTGGAGTTCAAGGGGTTCGAGATCTCTGTTCTGCTTTTGCTTTTGTCTTAAAGCCTTTTTAAGGGATGTCTGGGGTTCACACACAGAGAGCTCCACCTTGATACCCTGGATGCCCCTCCTGGGGCCTGGAAAGTGAGTCTGAAGAAGTCCCCTGTCCTTGAACCAGGATGGGGCAGAGACAGGAAAATCATTTCAGATGTAAAGATTATCCGAGACCCAAACATTCATTCATTCATTCATTCATTCAACGAGTGTCCATCCACACTCAGTACACTGCTCTAGGTAATGGGGCGCTAACATTGAGCCTCCCACCCCTAATGTTCAGGTGAGGAGGGTAGACAAGAGCCCCATAAACCATCAATCGTGCTGCACCCTTAGATCCCAAGTGCTGCCCCAGGGGGCAGGGGTGGCGCAAGGGGTTAAGACGCAACCTATGAAGCTGTCCGGATCTACTGCTGCATGAGTTCGATCCCTGGCCAGGGAGGTGACCCACGTGGCTCAGCAGACCTCTCCTGTCTCCCTGCTGCTCCCCTCAGCAGTGGATTTCCGTCAGTCTGTCTGTTCTGCTCCCCACTCTGTCTCTGGTGAATCCTCTCAACCCCCACACCTCTGGCCTGTACCCCAGCATATTCTTGTATGCATCAATAAATCTTTTAAAAAAATTATCAGACTTGCTATTCCTAACATAATATATTAAGTTTCACTGTAACATTAGAGGAAAATTTGGAGGAGGGAGAAGAAATTGAGCATTTTGGTGGTTTCTATATTAAAAGTGATGTTCAAGTGATCTTATAATAGGACAGAATATTATGTCATAATTTTATTATTTTATATTTTACCATTATAAATACACTAGATTATATTTTAGGATCAAATAAGAAGTCACAATCTCTAGATATTCAATAACAATCACTTCTTCCAAAGGTAAAATATGACAGCTTTAAAATTATATGTGTACGTGTGTGGTATGTGTATAGAAACAGATATCAGTGAAATTTGGAAACTAGTATAAATAATTTCAACTCAAGGGCCTCCGTGGTGGCGCAGGGATTGAAAACACAGCTCTCTCAAACTATCACCAGCAACATTAGTATCAGACTGCAACATGAGTTCGATCCCCCGCCAGGGAGCTGACACACATGGTGCAGCAGACCTCTCCTGACTTGCCCGCTGCTCCCCTCAGCAGTGGATTTCAGTGGATCTGCCTGTTCTGCTCCCCGCTCTGTCTCTGGTGATTCCTCTCACCCCCCAAACCTCTGGCCTACACCCTAGCTCTCGCATGCATAAATAAATAAATCTTTTTTTAAAAGTTATTTTTAAAAAATTCCAACTCTAATCAGTCACACGGACCTTTTTCTTTTTGTTTTACCTTAATTTTTAAAAACGTCCGAAGTAAAACTGTACAAGCACCACCAACTGGTACTTTCATCGTTGCCATGAAGTTTTGAACTACCTGACTCCACCACTGGGGGGTAGCATCTTCCAGTCTTTCTCTCCCCCGCTAGCATTTCCACCTGTGATATGGGCACATTGCACACCGGGTAATTGTGAAGGGTGGAGGAACACCCGAGGAGCGGGGCAGACAGGAGGGTGTCTTCCATGTCAGCAAATTGAATGGGTCTTTTTATCCTGTTCTTTTGAAAGATGAGGAAATTGATGCTCAGAGAGGTTAAGTGACTTGTGGGAGGCCACACAGCTGGAACTGTGCAGGGCTCAATGCTAACCGTAGGGACCAATTTGCTAACCACAAGCTAAATACCTCCCTGTAGCCAATGCAATTATTTCAATCTACTGTCAAAAGCATCCTAAGGGATCAGTGCGTCCAACTACTTATGTGATTCTTGAAAGGTTTTTGAAAACTACAAAGTGCTATACACATAAAAGGAGTTTTCCTGGTAATAAAGTTGCAGTCTGGCTGTTCCTTATTGCCCTAACAGCATTAGCGACTCCTTGAGAACGGGCATCCCTGTCTTGCTCTTTTCTCAGGCCCTCTGCCGATGCCCAGCACCCATGGGTGTCCCAGATATGCTCCCTGCAGGGTTGATCCAAATTTGTCCTCTCTCGGAAATCAGGGAGGCCAGAATTAATTCAGTTGCACTGTATTATTAATGCTGCTGAGATTGATATCGGTGTTGAATGCCAGAAGAGCATTCCAGCTGCCTGTCCTCTTGAATAGGGAAAGAAAGGGAGATGAAACAGTTTCGAGTTTCCCCAGTGAGCCCCTGCCTAGCACTGATTCATAACTTCTGTTCAGACTGCACGCAGCAAACTCCAGGCCCAGCTTCTTACCAGCAACACCTATGACAGCAGCTGACTTGATAGGTGTCTGCTGGATGCCAGGCTCCCGGCTTAGGACTTCTCATGCATGGACTTACTGAGTCCTGCCCCCAACCTGGCAAGGCAGGAACTGCCAAGTAGGGCCCTTATTTTGCAGCTGAGGTTCAGAGAGGTTAAGTAACTTGCCCGGGAATAACCAGGGGTGAGTCACAGAGCTGCGATTCAAAACAGAAACTGTTGACCAATACACTCTCCGGCCTCGGAACATAAAAGATGAGGCCATAGAACCGGATCCTGAGCATTTCAACAAACTCTGGCTGCTCAGCAGGAAGCCCAAGAGCTAAGGAAATAGACGACCTCCCCAAAGAAGACAAGAAAGGGAGAATTGACAGCATAAACTCAGCCTCTCTCTCTCCCCCCACCTCCCAACATGGCACAAGACATTTCATCTTTACATGGACAATGTGATCCATTTAGTCTGGTCTTTTCTGTTTGGGCACCCAGACATTGAAATGGAAAGGCCGGGGATTGCTATTGTAGCAACAAATAACAAATTAAAGAGAGGGGACGTCATGGCAGCTACTGGGGTTCCAAAGCATCTCCAGACGCGTGTACCACTGAGCCAGGCCCCAACACTCTGGGGAAACAATGCCCAGGTAATTATTTTAAATGAGCATTAATTATGTCATTATTAGAAATGGGGAGAAAATGCAATTTCCTTCTGTCACTTCTTGATATCTTAACTAGAGGAATATTTGCCATGCTATTATAACAAGCCACTGTTCGCATAATGGTGGCCAGGCAATAATAGAGAGACATGTACATTTTCATATGAATATATCATGCCTAACTAATGAGATTGCTCATTTCATAACTTCAGTTCCATTTTTATTATTTCATAAAACTGGAAGTCCTTATCCATTTTATGAAAAACACCAAACCTTTGTGAAATTCATTAAATAAGCATAAAAAATTCATTAAACAAGTGAATTGCATTCAGGGCTGCTTTGATGCAAATGCCCTTTAAGCAATGTAAAACTCCATATTGATTTAACCTTTCATGTTCTGATATTTCCATGTGGATATAAAAAAAAATTCTTTATTCAGGGAATGAAATTAAGTGCTGATCTCTTGATCTCCAGCTGGGCAAGATAGATTGGTCAATTTAAGTAGCTGGTGCTGGTCGGCAAACAACTGAATTTAAAAGTATTAAGGCATGTCGATATTTTAAGTATTGTCACCTGCACATCAAGCAAAGGGAAAAAAAATTATTATTCCAGCTCAATTAAGTTTGTGTTTGCCGTCGAGCTGACCTTGAGAGGGCTGGCCCGTTGGGCCACGACATCCCGCCCTTGGCAGCTGACAAGGGCAACAGTGGCAGGATGTAAAACACCAACCATGGCCTGAATATTCTGAATTGTGTGGTCAGAGCAACCACAAAATAATTAGCCTGGAGACACAGTCCCCTCGAGCTGTGTCCCCTCATTAGTGGGGGACAGACAGCGGGGCAAGTGCGAGTTCAGAGGAGGAGAAAGGAGTTTGCCCTTCACCCAAGAAACGCTTCCGGGACCCCCTCATTAGGCCAATAACACAAGGCAGATTTCAAAGGATTTTAGAGCTAGAGGAGCTCTTGGTGTTTCCTAGCCACTCATGTATTCATTCATTCATTCAGCCAGTATGCATTGGCCCCCCACTCCTTGCAGGACTGTGCTTGGGACGGGGGTGGGGGTGGATAAAGTATGAATACATTGCGGGGGCACCAGTCTTCACAGAGCTCATTACAATACTCCTCTCATTCACGGTGAGGTGAGAGGAACATGGTAATGTAGGAATTGGACTCTAAAAAAAAGAAAGAGAAGGAAAAAGAAGAAAACCTGCACACCTGAGTCAAATCTCAGTTTCACCATTTATTAGTTGTGTTGTGTGATTTAAGCAAGCAAGAGAGTCAATCTCTGGGCATCGGTTTCCTTATATTACTATTTCATGAGGCTCTTGGACCAATAAATGAGATGTTGCCTATAAAAATCTTCAGCAGAGCAGATGGCAAGCAGAAAGTGGCAATCATCACCATCATCTCCATCATTACTTTTTCAATCTGACCTTCTCATGTTACACATGAACAAGCTGAGACTTGGCAGCAGAGGTCACACAAAGACTGGGCCGCAGAAGGGACTTTTTCAAGCCAATAGTGGCCTCCTAAACTATGTGCTTTGAATTCCAGTGGATTCCTGACCCAAACTGACTTCTGTGAGTGCAAAATCCAGAGGTAGATCTGCTGGGGTTTCAGGTAAGGTATGATCCAGGAGCCCAGTGAAGTCACCAGGATCCAGCTTCTCTCTCTTATTTGTTCTGCTTGTTAATGACTGCAGCCTCAGTATGTGTTTCCTCTCCCAGTCTCAAGATGACTTCAGGAGTTTGGAGAGCTTCCTCTTTCTTTGTTTGTGTGCTGAAAGGGAAGAAAGAGAATTTTTGTCTCAGAATTCATGAACAAAATGTGACAACCAATACAATCAGGCCGCTGAAGTCACACATCCTGAACCAATAGGCGGCACTGAAGATAGAAGGCATGATCGGCCTCGCCTGGTCTTGTCCCACCTTCCACCCCTGATCAGGGGTGCTATGAGCTTGCTCAGAATCACAAAAATCAGGGACTGCTAAGAAAGTGAAGGATCATGGCACTATAACCACAAAGGTGTTCACACAAACATAAGCATTCTGTCGTGTCTAACTAGTATCTATAACAACAACGACAAGGGAAAGAGTTAAGTCTCGATTCTCAGGGACACACACTGAACTGTGAACTCCAGGAGGAAAGAGATGATTTTTTCCTGTTCCCCGGCATCTCCCCAGGCTGGGCACTGTGCTCTTGAGGCCATTAAGTAGTGTCATGAGTGTTGAATCCCAGCCCCACCCCTACCACATGTGAACTCAGACGGTAAATGGGATTCATGCAGGATCTAGCCACGAGTGTTGTGAGCAAAAATGCATAAAAGAAATCTCGTAAAAAGGAAGCAGGCAAAGAATGCTATCTATTATTATTATCACTTGGTACCGCCAGCCCCCAGTCTGCTTTCCGTGATATTTCACATTCACTGTACTTGTGCAAGGGAGAGCCATTGCCGCTGACATTCCCCTGCGCTATCTTGACCTGGTTCCTTTATCAGCAAATTTTCCTTTCTCTTGAAGACTAAAAGCAAAAGCCACCTTGTCTGCAAACCCCTTTCCGAACCCCAGAGCTGGAAGGAATCCCCCCCTCAAGATCCACTCCCCTCTTTCGGCATCCTTGTCGGTCAGCATTGCTATCTATTTCCCTTGACTTTCCTGGAGGCACTCAGAAATTGTTTGCAAGAATACATTAAATCCTGCCTATCGATCAAGCCCAGTATGGTATTTCAGTAAAAGACATGGGGGCTAATCAGGGTCTCGATGCATCTACGTGTATAGAGCTCCCTCGTTTCCGTGGGTTAAAACCCCACTAGTACGAGTCAGCAGAACAAGTAGATAGAAGATAATAATATGGTTTGTCACTATGAAATGGTGATAAAAAGCATGCCCACAGACTCCAAGAATATTAATGTTTTAATACCAAAGGGCTCAGAAATCTATAGGAATGTTGTGTCAAGCGGAAGATCATACATCATGTACCCACCAGCACCCCAAAGCTCGCCAGCTGCAAAGAGCACGCCTGCAGGGAGCAAGGATTTACCAGGTGTGAAAGCTCCATTAGCCAGTTTCCCGGGGCATGGTCTGGGGTCGAGGTTAGCCTCCTTGGGCCCTCCTTGTCCCCGACTGCCCTGCAGCCTCTGGCCACTTCTCTGCTCACTCTTCCCAACCCATTCCCGGGCAGCTGGGTGAACTGAAGTTTCATTTTCCAGGAACAAGTCTTAGAAATTCAGCTCTTCACAAATATCAATATGAGACAGGCACCATTAACATCCTCGTTCTAGCAAAGAAGCTGAGACAGAAATAGCAATTAAGTGATTTGTTTTAGGTCAAGCGTTAGTGAACATATTTATGTGATTCCAGGTCCCAAACCCTCAGCCTCTTGCCTGTGGTGCCCTCTGGATTGGCTTTGACCAAAGGGTGAAAGAGCCGGACCCAGGAGGGACCAGGTGGCCACTGGACTGGGTCTGCAGCCGGTAAAAACTGAACAACCAGAGCCAGGGATTCACGCTCGCCTCCTGCTTAGACTTCTCAGCAGGTAGAATTCATTTTCTCTCACTGCAAATGAGAATCCCTCTGGGTAGGCAACATGGCTGGGTCTCCGCTTCTGCATTTCATATATTGTGGACCTTCCTTGTCCACTGCGGGTAACCTGAAGTCAGTGGGGTGGGGTGGGGTTCGGTAAGAACCAGGCCACTCCTGCTGGAACCACATGGTAGGAGGGTGTGGGAGCAACACGGGGGCACGCTAGCCTGCAAGATCATAGCTAGTCGCCCGTGTTTGCTGTGCTACGTGTTTAAGTGTTGATTTAGGGTGTTTTCATTTGTGTGATTTCCAAATGAGCTAAAGTCCAGCTTCTCTCTAGAGTTAAGGGAAAGCAAAAAGATGAAATGTACATGGCAAGCATCGAATGTTTCAAACCACTATGAGGTCGAAAGTCACCAGGGGTATTCGTCATCTTGTAATCTGCTCAATGGAAAGTATTCCTGCGCAGTGCCAGAAGAATAGAGCTGGAGATGGGAAAGACAGGACATGTGTGGCTTCAGAAGCCACCGAAGCATGTTGCAACCCAGACATGGCCGGTGAAGCGGGTGCTCCATTTTCCAATCTACGACAGCAGCACACAAAGCCCTCGGCCACCACTGCTGGGCCCTGCTGCCTGAAGGGAGCTGTGTGACTTTGGACAAGTCACTGCCCCTCTCTGAGTCACCCTCTCCCTATGTGAATGGGGACAAATGAAGCTAAGAAGCAGTGGTTTTAAGATTATGTTCTGCTGAGCCCTCGGGCTGGCCACAGAAGCTGTAGTAGGAGGGTCAGGGGCTCAGTGGGTGGGATTCTGAGCGGGCCCCATCCCCACCTTAACCAGAGCATTCTGCTTTTATCTCTTTTATAATCAGAGTTCTGCATAATATTTTGAGGGAAGAAAGAGTTCTGAGGTTAAAAAGAAAATGAAAACCACTCAGCCAGCTGATCTCGGAGGCCTTCCAGCCCTCATATCCTCGCAGCCGAGGGAGATAATTGTCTGTGTTTCCTAGTCCTTCAGCCTCTTGCAAATGACTTAGGCACCAAAAAAAAAACCACACCCAGACGCCTGTCTGCATGCTGCCTTCGGGGTCTACCAGATGGCTCTGAGGCCAGGGCTGCGGACCCCTGGCTCTCTGAGTGTGAAACTGCTCATCAAGGCTGCTTTCCTGCTCCTCTGGGCCGAGCCTCACCGACAACGGTGATGGGCATCTTCCCTGCTCCTGACTGTTTCTGTCCCCTGCAGAAAATCCAGAGCTGTTGCGGTGAGCAGGGGAGTCATTTTCCCTCTCAGCTAAATGCTTACATGTGTACATTCTTGGTGTCCATGAGATTGAAATAGAGCTTTTAAAGGCCCGGGCAAAACTATCTATTCATTTGAGTTAATAACAACTGCTGACAAACACTATCTTTTCCATCTTGCTGATAAATTATGTCTTTCATGGTGGACATCTGATTGGAAAGGCCCTTGGCAGTACTTGAAGGCACTTAACTTAAAACCATTATTAGATTTGAGTTTAGCTCTCCCTTGATGCCCCAATCCAAAAATAAGGCCTGAGGTACCGCTGAGATATTTAAGTATACGTTGTCTTAAGAGACCACCCTCATACCAAAGGCAAATTCTTTAAAAGTTGCTTTGTAATAGTATAAAAGGGGGGGACCGTGAGCTGCAGCGCGAGAAAGAACTACGTAGGTTTTTCATGATTACTAATTTAGCAGCGTCTCGGTGATGTTTTATTGATAGGGCTAAACATAAATTTGCCTTTGGTATACTTTGCTGCTGATGCCGAAAATAAGACATGTAAGAACACATAAGCCTGTGCCTACGGCTTTTCAGAAGAAGGCACAAAGGCTCTTTGTGGGAACCCAAGCAGGAGATACTTAAATGGGGAAGTGCGGGGCTTATGCAGGTCTTCAAATCTGGGCAGACACAGAGCGGTGCTCACCGGCACCTCGGAAGTCCCAGCGTTCATGCAGTTTTAAACACGACACTTCTGCTAGTTTATTCTTGAATTAGGAATACTGATCGCACCCACATTTTATTATTTGCAATCAGAAAATCGTGGAGGGGAGCCCCCAGGTTCACAGGAGAAAAATAATACATATTGCACCACTTAAGAGCGTGGTTATTTATGACTAAAGCTGCCGAGGACACAACGCAATACGTGTTACAGCCCTTTACACGCTCAGAGAAACACAAAACGGCACCGGGCAGTAAAAAGCCATCACTTTAAAGGATTTGTTGTCAGATTTTTTTCCATTCCCCTTTCTCCTTCCTTTTTAAATCATGAGGTGCCAAGGGCTAATCAAATGTGTATATTTTATCTTCCAAATATTAATGGGCTCGAATGCAGGGTGAAAGACAGGACTGCTGATGGACGGGGTAGGGCATGAGGCTGTTGCACGCACTATTGTCTTTTTTTTTTTTAAATATTTTAATACACAGCTACCATTTATTTTTTAAAGATTTATTTTATTTATTTATGCATGCAGGAGCTGGGGTGTAGGCCAGATGTGTGGGGAGGGTGAGAGGATTCGCCAGAGACAGAGTGGGGAGCAGAACAGGCAGACAGAGTGAAATACACTGCCGAGGGGAGCAGCGGGGAGACAGGAGAGGTCTGCCATGCCATGTGGGTATCTCCCTGGTGGGGGATCAAATTTGTGCTGCGGTAGCTGCAGATTGCTTCATAGTGCTGAGAGTGAACCCCTTGCACCACCAGGCACTATTTTCTTTATAAATAAATGCTCCTGATGAAGTCTCTTATCTGCGAGGAATGCCACCTGAAGGATGTGACAGCTCTGGTGCCAGGAGGTTCAGCGGCCGTGGCACTGTTTTCGTCCTAGTGGATCAAGCCGTGTTTTCTCAAATAACCTGCCAAAAATCAACCGGATTGTGCTCTCCTTCTTCACCTTGCGAACTACTGCAGAGCCCAGCAGTGCTCAGAGAGGCGGGATGGGACATCAACAGCCTTCCCAGAAAGGCCAGCAGCTCCTCTCCCAGCAGGGATTCTGCGAGCTGCAACATAGTGCAGGAGCAGAGACATAAAGCCCCTCTCTTAGTATTATTTTAAAGGAGACAAAGTATCTAATAGTGTGCTCTAGGCAAACATTCTCTCAGAGACAGATCAGCTTAACTCCCTGGTATCCTGGAGCACAAAGCATTTTAATAAAAAAAGATTTTGGCTGTTGCTTGGGCCTCTCTCATAGATGCGTCCTCAGAGTGGCAGCCGGCAGCTTGTGTGATGTCAAGTCGAGCTCCAG